AGCTGGAATGTGAAAGCCCTCGTGCAATGAGGTGAATCCTGGAGAGTCATGAGAGATTTTTAAGCTGAAGAATGATTGATCAGGTTTGGGACTTGAATCCATATCTTAGGCCACTATAATTTATCACCATCTCTTCATTCTCCCTAATTGTGCCCCATTAAAGCTCTTGCTCTTCCTTATTTATATGATTGCAGTGGTCACCTTACAGATCTCTCTGCCCCAGGTAAATCCCTGCAAACTATCCTTCACTTTGGCGTCTTTCTAAATCCAGCCTGCTTCTACCACTCTGCTGCAGCAGGCCAGTGACTCCCCTCATTGCCTGGAGAAATCCTCAAAGGCTCAGTATGGCATGCAAGACCCTCACGTTCCAGCCTGTGCTGCTTTATACCCTCCTGTCCCATCTTTCTTTCTCATCTCATTCCAGCCAACCCCTCTTGACATCCCTCCTAACTCCGGGTCTCCGAAGCCTGCCAGGCACACTCAGGACACCCCGCCTTTTCTCACTCTCTCTCAAAGTCTATCTGAGATGTTCTTACTGCAAATTGCTCCTTAATCTTCAAGAATCAGCCCACAAGGCAAGTTCCTCTGACCTTGTCTTGACTCCTATAGGAAAAATAAATCTCTTCCCTTCTCTGAGCTCCCTGGCATATGGCACATACTGATAATAGCACATACATCACATTGCCTCATAATTATTGCTTAAAAGTCTGTTTCTCAGGCTAGAATGTAAGTTCCACCAGAGGATGAGACCATATCACATTCCTCCCATAAACTCAGCTCATAGCACTGTGCCTCACACACACTTAGAAGCTTGGCAAATGTTAAATGAAGACACTGATCTTCTTGTCCCATTTTTGTCCAGAATCTATAATCTTCCTCACTAAGCAACTACTTACTGTCCAAGGGAAATCACTATTTTTTGGGATAGGTTTCTATTGCTAGGTCACTGCAATTATTCTCTTTAATCAGTTGGACAGCAAAAGGCCCGTAGCTGAGACATTTCTTGAGTTAGACAGCACGGGCTTCATTCTTCATACCATAGCTTCCAGAGGGGCTCAAGTACCCACCACAGTCTCAGTTTGCAACCAAGCCACATGATAAAGCCTGTGTCTGTCTTTTAAATATCCACCCCCTCCATTCACCTCTGTATATTTTGGGACCCAAGCAAAGGACAAAAAACATTCTCAGAGATATCTTGGGGCATGGCATAATGTCTACACATCAGCTGGGATTTTTCTAAGGATAGCCACACATATGTGCCAAAGAGGGACTACAAAAGAAAAAAAAAAACAGGGAAAACTATGTCTGCTAGTATTCCGGCTTCCTATAGCTCCCTCTTAAATGGAGGAACAAGAAACCCCCTAACTGGGGTTAGTTGAAGGGTCAGAGCCTTCAGAAATCCTTCTATTTCTCAATTGTGGGTTTAACATCCACCAGCTTTCAAATTCCAAGAAAAGTTCAGCATGGGCTCTAACCACACCACCTTTCCCTTAACTTCTAACGCTTACAGCAGCTGGTAGGAACTTCAAAATACTAAGTCCAGGGCACTCCCTGGAGCTTACAGCATAAGTAAGAATCTAGTGCCTCAGGAGCTAATTCCTGGAGGGCTTTCTGGGGCATCCAGGAGTCTCTCGTTACTTGGCAGACTGCACAGGCCACTCATATTGAAGCACACATGTAGGGGTAACATTTTGGGGGATAACCTTATGTTAGTTTAAGGGCAGCCTGAAAATGTCTCTAATTATTGTCAAAAGAGTTGAAGGCTGACTTTGGGAGGCCAAGGCAAGCAGATCACCTGAGGTCAGGAGTTCAAGACCAGCCTGGCCAACATGGTGAAACCCTGTCCCTACTAAAAATACAAAAATTAGCGGAGTATGGTGGTGACTGTAATCCCAGCTACTTGGGAGGCTGAGGCAGGGGGATTGCTTGAACCAGGGAGGTGTAGGTTTTAGTGAGCAGAGATCATGCTACTGAACTCCAACTTGGGCGACAGAGCGATATTCTGTCTCAAAAAAAAAAAAAAGTTGGGGACTGAGTCTTGGGGCTTGTAGGATGCTGAGCAAAAAACTTTTACTTCCAATAGCTTTACTACTCATAAAGTTATTCATGACTCATATAGAAAAAGTGGAAGGGACAAGGTAGGAGTTTAGTTACATGAGGGTACAAATTAGTTTGTAGGTACAATGGGGGAATGAGGCAGAGACAAAGAAAAAGCGGAGGAATGGACTGCAGGGAGATAGGTGCGGGATCACCTGAAATTTTAGAAGGGAGAAGTTTGAAGAACAGGAATTATTGCCTCATTAAAGGGGAAATATTTGTTTTAGGAATCCACTGTAAACATTTATCTGATTTGCCTAAGAATGAAGTAGGAATAGGTCTGTGTAAGCTTCAGGATGTACTGGAGAGGAAACCCAGGCATGAACAGCAAATACCCTTTCTTGATTGTATTCTTGTCCCTAGAGTCTTAGAGGATTTAGTTTTAGACTCAAGGCCCTCTGGTCCATATCACAGTGTGCATGTATGGACCATCTATCTATAGTATCCATTTTCCCTGGAAGTGAGTTTAGAAACAACTATTATAAACAAAAACAGGAAGCAAAACAAACAAGGAAATAACAATTTAGTGCTGCAGAGGATGAAGGAAGATGGGGGAGAGAAAATGCACTTCCCACACTACCTAAATGCTATAAATTAAAAAAAGACCAGCAGAAAATGGCAAGGTTGGGATTTTCTAAACAGCCAACACCCAACTGCTTTATTCATTCTATGACTATAATGTCATCAAATATTTATTGAACACTATTAAGTACCACAGATAAGCACTAAGGATGAGAGGTGACTTAGGCAAAGTCCTTACCTTCAAGGAATTCACGGTCTATGGGAGAACACTCATAAATTATAACACCATACCAGGACCATTGAGCTTGGGAGTGGGATAACCTGGCCCATTGGGAACAAAGCATATAAGCATAGGAATATGGCTCTGCGCTGACAAAAGAATTGTTGGGGATCAGTTGCACTTCTGGGTCTCCATTCAAACTATAAGTTTAAGTAGAAAAAGGGTGCAGCTGAGCTTTGCGATTGATTCAGAATACAGCTGCTAAATCTAACTACAGTTCTTTTGGCACTGCTAACCAGGCTGGATTCTGCCTGGTGGTCAAAGGCTGCCAAATTCTGGATTTAAGACATTGCCTTTCCAAACAAAAATAGCTGTAATGAAAATCGCATACGACTTACATAAACTTTAGTAATATAACACACACATTACCTTTAAGAAGGACGCTAGTATTTTGTTACATATGGACCGTCTGACTTAAAATAGTTATTTCTTGCTGTCTTTTATCTTGTTTCCATAAGCTTTATAATTTTAATAGTACCCATCTGACTCTACCCAATGATAAATTTATTTGAAAACTTCTCCAAAAGAAACTTTCTCAACATTTTAATCATTTGAACTTGCCTTTATGAACTTAAGGCACAACTTTCCTGAGTCTTGGTTTCATCAACTGTAAAATGGGGATGATAAACTCCAAAACACCAGCTATTGGTAAAGTTCAAATGAGATTAATATGTGTACAAGCTGGAGTTTAACTGAAAAACTGCCTCTGCTTTACATCTAAATGAGAAATATTATAGCCTTGAAGCTTGACCCCCCAAGATGCTGTAACCTGGAAAAGTGTTAAGACTAGGTGAATCTTTTCCCAGGATAAGAACGGCATGAAGAGGACAATGGGGAAGAGATAAAAGTAGTCTGGCTGTGACAGAGCCCCTTACAGATATTCAATGCTGATTTGGCTCATCAGGCCAGTTTCTCTAAGCTATTACCGTCCTCTGCCCTCTCACCCTGTTATTTACTTGGTTAAACACGTTGACCTAGCAGGATGAAGGGATACCACTCCTTTAGCAGAAAAAAAAGTGGGAGGGTCTGAAATCCTGAGTGTCTTCATTGTAGAAAAATGTTATGTACTGCAAGGACAGCATCTAAGGCAGCATATATAGAGTGTCTGGAGCCCAACCGAAGGCCAATAATTGATTGTAATAAACAATAAGATATTTTCTATATGATACAGGTATATAAAACTATATTCATTTACAAATATTTTTAAAATGCAGTAAATGTATATTTGGACAGAACTGCCCAATTTCAAAGTAAAGGTTGATAATCAGTTTTAAAAATTGAGGTTAAAAAACCTATTCAACAATGTAAAAATATTGAATTGGGCAGCGAATTAAAGTGATTCTCAAAATGTTTCACTGGATAAAACAAAATAATTGTGCTGAATTTCCTTAATTTAACATTTCAAACTTTAACTGTATTGCTTAATATTGTCTGAAATCTCTGCTGGTCATGGTGGCTCAATCCTGTAATACAAGCACTTTGGAAGGCCAAAGCAGGATTGCTTAAGGACAGGAATTTAAGGCCAGCCTGGGCAGCATAGTGAGGCCCCCCCATCATCGCTACAAAAGAATGTAAAAATTAGCTGGGCATGGTGGCACGCATCCGTAAGTCCCAGTTTCTCAGGAGGCTGGGGCAGGAGGATCACTTGGTCCCAGAAGTTCAAGGTTGCAGTGAACTATGATTGTGCCTCTGGACTCCAGCTTGAGTGATAAAGCAAGACTGTCTCCAAAATGTATTGTCTGACATATTTTATACATGGACAATTCCCAGTGAACAAATTTGTGGTTTGGCTATTTTCTGCATGTACATCAAGTAATATACATCATTCTTTTTTACCCATTGTCTATAATTTCTGACTTACTTACAAATTATTCAAATTGATTACATATTATGTTTTAGGGAATATCATTCTCAGTTTTCCCCCCAAATATGCCAGAATGGTAACTGAGGAAACAAGTGAATGAATGTTTAACTTTGTTTAAACATGTACAGCAATACAGATGATCATTTTCATAAAAGGTAATGACTTTCAGCTTTGAGAAATATTTATAAGTTAGCAAATCTAGAACATGAAGCAATACACCAAATAAAGAAACCAACCTCAGTAATACAGATGTCTATTTTATTAAAAAAGTTACAAACAGGTGGACTGCAGGGTTGTCTTACAAAATGACAAGAATGAAATCTATTGGAAAAATTTTACTTTTACAAATCTTCATAGGTAATTGTTCAATGTTTGTACTTGTTATTTGAGATTTTACCTTTCACTGATAAAGTTACAGTACATTAGATCCATGATAATTGGTTACATTATTTTATTTGCAGAGCCCTACTGCAGTGATTTGAACAACTCCTAAACAGATGCCATAGTAAAGACAAGACATATATTGCATTTAGAATTAATTTATTATCCTAATAAGCAACATGCAATCTATTGAGGAAGCTAAAATAACTTTTGGTCCCTTTTCTTAAAATGTGCTGGAGAAACCACCTTGAAAATCACTTTCCCCTGATTCCTGTGATCCTAAGTGAATTCAAGTCAAATTTGCTGCTGAGGTCAATGACAATGAACACTGTAATTGAGAGAGAGAGAGAGAGAGAGAAAAGAGAGAGAGAGAGAGAAGAGAGAGAGAGAGAGAGAGAGAGAGAGAGAGAGAGACAAGAACACAATCTACAGGAAAGAAACACTATAAAAAATCAAAATCTCTAGAAAATTTAAATCATGATGAATTATTTGATTCCTTTAGAATTTCACAAAACTACAAAGCTAGTAACAATGATCCATGATCACTTAACCTACTTTTAAATGAGTGTTTGGTTTTAAGTTTGGTATTAAAGTGCAAACTTAAATTAAGTATTCATTTCAAGCAGTTCATACATAAGGAACAATGTTTCAATTGCCTGTATCTTTATAATCCCACTATAAAATTCAAAATTTAAGAACAAGAGTTCACTTTGAGGGAATTTACTCAGGAATCAAATGCAACACGATTTTAAAAAAGGAAATCAAAGTTTAATCAATTTCTACTCAATAATTAATGGTCATGCTGACCAATAAATCACATGAATGTAGATACCACTTTATTTGAACATCACACACAATATAAATTTAAAATTGCCACACCCTTCCATAAACCATCACTGCATATATTAGAGCTTTCCTTGACAAAGTTATTGAGCTATTATTATAGATCAAAAGCATAGTTTTGGTTTTTTTGTTTTGTTTTATTTTATTTAGAAGCATGTTCAAATGACTAAAGCTGGGCTCCTAAAATCGAGAACTTTGGTGCAGGAGGTGAGCTGCAGTTACTAACTTCTGCAAATGAAAAGCACACAACTAAAACCAAATACAAACCCAACAATAAAATACTGTCAAACTTATACAATTTAAAAATCATTGCTAGAAAAAGCTCTCATTGTCACGATGTTAAAACTGAATCAAAATATTACTCTTCGTAAGTTTCCTTTCTGATTCTATACCTGTGTTACTGTTAAAATGTTCAAGTATTCAGACAAAATGTGCTGATTAGGTAAACAACATGGAAGGCAATGGCTATTAGAAAGCACATTTGCAAAAATAAAAAATAGCCCAGAGACTTGGCGCTATTTTCCCTCCTATTACACAGATTTTGTCTCTACTACGAACATGCTTCTTGAGAAATAACTAAAAAGCAATTGTGATAGTGCAAGAAAACTTTAACAAATATTGCTTTAAGCTATTATACAGAAAGACAAATATTAAGAACTAGAAAGTGTATATGATTTTATTTGAATTCAATTTTACATGTGCAGAAGTCTACTAGATGTCAATTACAAGCCTGACAGGCAAAGATGAGCTATCTCTGTTTAAGTATACAATTAATTTACCATGGATACAATATCCCTTTTCAAAGGCATTGCTAAATAGGTCATAACTAAATTTAGAACTTCACAGAAAGGAAAATGTTACTGCCACAATTCAATGCTATAAATGAGATTAACACATGTGAAAACCTAATGGAATTGAATGTTTAACTCTTCAACTAAATGCTCTGCAGTCAATTTCAAATATCAATTGTAACTTTCAGAACATGTTAATTACAGAAAAAAAAACACACACACATCACAATCTGCACTTGAAGAAAAGGGATATTCCATCCATACAGGTAAAATGTGATCTTTAATTTCTTTTTACAACACTGCCAAACGTAAACAAAGTCTCAAAGTATTAACCAATAATTTTAAAGGAGAAAAATTTTACAAATAGGATGAAGCACTGGTACGAGGTAATATACAGAAGTAACCATTTGTTTAAGGCTCAATTTTTTCTCCATTATAACTTTCTTTTAAAAGGCATTGCGTAGGTAATACTGAGTTTGAGTATTTAATAAATACAAGTCAAGAAACTGATTAAAGAAATCAATTAAAATATTAAAAATTAACCCTTGCATATTAGCCATCAATAAGAACTTAGAAAGCTATAAAAGGACTGACTGATAAAGAACAGATTTTAAACGTATGGTAAACGTGCTAAGCATTCCTGTTAAAGGTCGATGGATCTTGAAGGCCAAAGACCTTATGCACTTAAATAGATGTATGGCAACATGCTGTAATAGAGACAGGTTTACCAAGGCTCAGTTCTGCAACCCAGGTTGTAAAGTTCTCCAAAGCAGCATCTGTGCAAATTTCCTCTGAGTTTTATCTGCAATTAAGATAAACATGTCATAAAAATGTAGAAATATATAGTTTAAAAAAAGAACACTGACAACAGATCTATGTATACATAGAAGTGGTAACAAGAATAACAAACTTCAGTTGAAGTAAGAAGTTAATTTGCCCTCCTCCTGATAAGTCATTTTAAAAAACCCAGAAACACACAAGTGATGCATTAGATACAATGTACTTTGTGTGTGCATGCGTGTAGCTACTCTAGCTTATTTTTATAGTATCATTATGCCTTGTATTTGTATTATACCTATGCAACATTAAAAATGTCCTTACTGGTTTAAATGATCTTATAGTATAAAAGTTGTTGCAAATGCTGCTTCTACTTTGATCTCTTCACATTTTAACTGGAAATGGTATTAGAATCAAATGCATATCAATTATGAGTTAACTGGCAGTATGTTAGACTTTTCCTAAATTTAATTTTTTGAGAGACTAAAATAAGAAAATGTGATTCAGGCTGGGCACAGTGGTTCATGTCTGTAATCCCAGCACTTTGGGAGGCCAAGGTGGGAGGACTGCAGAAAGAAAAGAAAGAGAAGGAAGGAAGTAAGGAAGGGAGGGAGGGAGGGAGGGAGGAAGGGGAAGGAGGGAGGGAGGGAAGGAGGGAGGAAGGGAGGGAGGGAGTGGAAGGAGTGAGGGGAAGGAGGGAGTGAGGGGAAGGAGGGATGGAGGGGAGGGGAGGGGAGGGAAGGGGATTCAATCAAGGTCTAGATATTGAGCACCTACTAGGTACATAGGTTTGGTCAGATGCTAGGTGATAGCAGCAGTTCACATTTCCCACTTGGGTCTGCCCTTTTTTGGGGACATCCTCCCAACCACAGGATCTTCTTTTATGACTGGGATTCCTCAATCCCTGCTCTTATAGCTAATAGATTTCTGCCCTTCCAGCTAATACCAGGGGGAAAAAAAATCTATCATTCAGACAGACAGAGAGTCCTTCAACTGTGCTGAATCACCAAATAGCTTCTAGGGGAGTTATGTTTGTTTTTTAATGCATGAGATTAAAAATGTTATTATAAAGCCAGAAACAAAAGTAGAACAGCCACTGTGAAAGAATGCCAAGGGAAACCAGTTTATAATCATTTAAGGGTTCTACCAATGTTTATAAATGCATAATTTTAATTTCATTTGACAGGTATACTTCTATTAGTGTTCAAAGAGTCTGAGATAATGCTTTATTAGCAGCTATATCATAAAAATGATTACCATTAAAGAACACCGCTCTGCTCATTATTGAAATTCTGCCGCCTAAACACATTAGGAAAAAATAGAACAAAAATCTGCCTCTTTAGAAACTATTACAGAAACATGTTTCCAATTAACAGACATTTTTGCATTAAATTGTTAATTATGACACTGGTTATTTAAACTTGGGCAAGTCCAGTTTCCCCATCACTGAAAAATGGGATAAAAATACTTTCCTCACAGGAATGTTGTAAATTTGTTTTCCTTTCTCAACTATGTTATAAATTTCTAGAAGACCAGGATTGTACTTTTGATATCCAGACTAAGGACCTTTATATATTTTTAGCCTAGCTGAAATTTCTATACATATTTGAACACAACAGTATTCAAATATAGAGTATTCATTATGAATACTTTTTAGTAATTTAGACAAGACTTCCTTCAATTAGTTTGAATTAATGAATTTGCTATAAATTTTGGTCTACATTTTTCAAATCAAATAATTATAAAGAGATTGGGATTTTCAAATATGATTATATCTCTTAAATATTGAAGACCTGTTCAAGCATTCTCTAAAATCAAATTAAGAAAGTAGTTATTATTTGTAGCCAAAATAAACATTAATAATCAAATCATCTTACTAACCATAATCTATATTGAATAAAAGGTGATATATTAATCACCTCCCACCCTCTAAAAACCTGGGTAACATTTGGTCCATTCACATCCACAGGATGACAGTACTCCTGTGAAATCAAGAGATATAGATAAATCCTGAGTTAGACTCAAGAATATTAACATGAGGCATATCTTTAAGGAAACAAAGTATTAATACTAGCTACTTTTCAAGAGAGCAATAAATTATAATTCTGTAAATAAATCCTGAAGCAAAATGCTTGCATTAAACAAATACAAGTCTCTTTCAGATGAGAATTTCAAGTGTAAATGTTCTTGCTCCACAGTGACAGCAAAATTTTCAATATTCTGACACTCTCATTTATGTAAAAAAAATTGCTAAAGGTTTAAAGGCAGCTGGTCAAATCATTACTTTTTAACTTGCAGGATATCACATCAAGCACATTGCAAAGGTATAACTTGCAGCTTTCAAGATAGAACACATGTTATCCTCAACCTCACTCTCAAGTTTCCAGCAAGACACTCAACAAATCTTAACTCTGGAAGCTTCTATTCAAACTCTTACTTAATTGTTTGGTTTTACTTTTTTTTTTTTTTTTTTTTTTTGCTTTTTACCATTGCAGTATTATAGGAAAGTACAAAACAAAACAAGAAATACACAATAGTATGAACCTTTTGCTCAGGAAATTATAAAGTAAATAGTGTCTTCCAAGTGGGGTAAATTGGTATACCAGAATACCAAACACAGAACAAAAGGAACAAAGATCATTTTTTAAGTCAGCCTGAAGAAAAAAGGGGATTCTTGATTCAAGACTAGTACATCATTTCACATGGCAGCAGAACGCCTGAAATGTTAACAAAAGCTCCTGAAAGGTTTAGCAGTTTATGAAATCTTTTTAGCTTAACTGGACTTACCATATTTAAATACAATGGTATTTACTAGTATTCTTTCTCTCTCACAAATATTAGCATGTAATCATAATCACTTTTAATTTTTTTCCAGTTTTAAGCATATGATATTCTTAGGATTTAACCAAAATACTTTTTTTGGAAAATGAATTTCCTTGCATGTTTAATCAGCATTTTATATATAAGTTAAATGTTAGCTATATTAGCAAAACATGAAGATGAAATTATTTTATTAAAATAATTTTAATACATTATTTTAATAATTTTAATAAATCACCAAAATGGTTAAATAATTATATTATTTTAATAATACATTAAATTTGTTAAAATAATTTAAATGTTTTATTAAATAATTAGTTATTTTATTAATAATTTAATAAAACATTAAAATTATTATTTTAATACTAATAATTTTAATCTCAGAGACAGGATCTTGCTCGGTCATCCAGGCTAGAGTGCAGTAGTGCAATCATAGCTTACTGCAATCTGGAACTCCTGGGCTCAAGGGGTCCTCCTGCTCCAGCCTCTTGAACAGCTTAGACTACAGGCACATATCACCATACCCAGCTAATTTTTTTATTTTTATTTTTTGTAGAGTCGGGGTGTCACTACATAGCCCAAGATGGTCTTGAACTCCTGACCTCAAGTGATCCTTCCACCTCAGCCTTCCAAAGTGCTGGGATTACAGGCACGAGCCACTGTATCTGGGTTCAGGCTGTAATTCCTCTGAAAGAGGTTATATTTTTGTTAAATATCTTTTGTTTCTCTATCCTAATGTGTATAATATTCATGAAGCTTATTGGGGTTGGAGTGGGAGGACTAGGTCATTAAATGTGTTCACTGGCACAATTAAACACAGAGAGCAAAAGCTGAACCTATGTCATGGAATCCTTGAATGGAGGTAGAATCACACATGAAGGAAAGCAAGCTCACTAAATGTTTATGGTGGACCCAGGGTAGAAGGGACAGAATTAGCTATTTTTCTTATGTACTAGACATAAAATCTCTTCATGTTTAAATTAATATGAGTTCAATTCTGAGATCTCAAATATTATAACCAAGTCCAGTGATAATAAACAGCAGTATGAGCCCAATGATCCAATTCCAGCTGCTAGCTTTGAATTAGACCAGGTAAGTTAGTACTCCCCTCAACTCTAAATTGCTTTTTCTGAATTTGATATTCCTAAGATTGGCTTATCAAAAGAACTTGGGAATATGTTTTTGATTGGATAAGCTTTTCTAACAGCTGACAGGACTTAAGTTTTTCTTTGTGATATTATCTTCTGAATTGTAGAATTCTACTGAGAAGTAATCCCATGGGGAGAATCTTTTCTGTAGTATGGCTAGAACACTTCCTTGGTGGCAATTCTCCAACTCCATGATGCAATATTTGTTAATTCTACTGATGGTTCATTCTAAGCCAGAGAGGTAATGGAGTAAAATAGAATAGTTCATATGCATTTTATTCTGCAATAAAAGCCTAATCTTGAGGTTAAAAGGAAGCAATTAAAGAGGGAACAGATATACAAAGAGTCATTCTAATCACCAGACACCTCCACATCCAGAGCAGGTCTAACTAAGCAGGCACCTTTCTACTCTCAAGTCTCAAGTCATTAACCCTATGAATTCAGTGAGGAGCTGAGAGAATTAGGGGTAGTAGAAAGGGCAAGGTAGCTTTGTTTTCCCCTTTTACTCCAGGTTTACTGAGGGGCTTTATGGTATATACTACCCCCAAAGCATGCTTCTTCCTCCATTTAACTCCTCTGCTCCACTTTGACTCACCATGTGAACTGGATGACAGATGAGCATTTTAAATAAGCCATTTTCCCCATTCAAAGTGATATGCAAATAGAGCATTGGGAAAAAAGAAGTATCTAACAAAACTGTAACTTGTATAACAGAATTCCACCCCAGTGTTTTACTAATATTATTAATATTTACCTTGTATAGGAAATTTTAAGTATGTGATATGATTTGATTTGAGGATTTTTCTCCTCATATTTGCTAAACCCCCAGCAAATCATATCTAATTAAAACCTAAAAAAAATTAAAAACCATTCTGATTCTACATATTTATTTTTTTCTTAAAAAAAAACTAAAAATGTTCATCAATTCCACTGTATTCAAGAAAAGTAAGTCTAGCTACACCAAAATCACATTCATATATAATTTAGCCTTTCAGTAGCTTTTGTTAGCATCCCAGGCATTCTGCTGCCATGTGAAATGATGTGCTAGTCTTGAACCAAGAATCCCCCTTTTTCTTCAGGCTGACATACATATATAACGAACTGGGGCTGACATAAATAATGATCTTTGTTCTTTCAGTTTGCTTCCTTGTGTTTGGTACTCTTAAGCACCATTTACCTTAGTTGGGAGAACCTGTTCCATAATACAGTGAGAAAAATGGTATAAAATCTTTCAGGAGACCTTCAAACCACAGTGAAGAACACCCTTCCCCCCCACCCCCATTTTCTTTCTTTATCACTTTCATCAATACTGGACTGACATAAAGGAATCCTTGAAAAATCATCTTTAAAACATTCTATCTGCCAAAAAGATATATCAAACTGTCACACTTAAGAGATAACCTTACTGCACTTCCCCCCTTTCTACTAGGGAATCAACAGAATATTTTAGGGTATTATTATGCTCCTTCTTGGCATTCCTTCTATTTGAAAATCAACACTGACACCCACCCCCCCCACACACCAATCCTCTCAAGTCCTACCCATCTTCAAAGCCTGATTCAAATGCTATTGCTCCCAATCTCTCTAACTCAGTGACTCTTAACCAAGGGCAATTTTGTCCCCAGGGGATATTTGGCAATTTCTGGAGATATGCTTGTCATAATGGGGGATGAGGAAGATGCTACTGGCATCTAGTGGGTAAAAGCTAGGGATGCTGCTAAACATCTGACAATGCACGGGATAGCCCCAAACAGCAAAGATTCCAGAATGTTAAGAAACTGTTCTAACTGGAAGTGGTCTGTCCTTTCCCTGGACTCCCACGGGACAGTGATTTACTTATTTTATATATAGTACTATGGATTATTAACAAAACATTGATCCTTCTCAACAAAAATATACCAAAAGAGTGAACTGCCAGTTTATACCAGCACAGAAGAGCTATGATATAGTGAATGAAACCAGAACAGGACTACAATGCTGACCCGGGTAGTTTTCCATTATATTGCTGCCATATAGCAAAAGAAGTCCCTTCAAAGCACTTGATCATAGGCTCCTCAGGTTAGTAAAGAAGTCAGGATGATAGTGTATGAAGAATCTGGCTATGCTTCCAAACTTACACTAAAGTTACTGCCAAATGGAAGGGTAAAAGTTGAGAAAACAATCCTGGGAGCCATGCAGAGAAACAGGTGTTAGGCAAGAGACTAGTGACCCAAATTGAAAGGTATTAAGACATAAATGTGAGGAATTATCAGAAGCAATTCTTAGAGCATTAATAAATTTTCCATCTTGGTTAAAAACAACCAATTAACAACAGTAACAGTGTTTCTGATTTACATCCTATTATTTCTAACTTGGACAAGGTACTCTTCTAAATATTAGGAACAAACATTTCTTAAATCACCTTTACCTGTGAAAGTTTGATCTTCAATCTAGATCTGGACCTGACAAATTTCAAAGTTCCATGGCTATAGGATTCAAAATCCACCATCTATTTTTTTCTTTTTAGGTAAATGGTGAACAAGGACAACCACAAATTTTACTAGTCTCAGATTACAGATTCTCATATATGGTAATCAGTTCAATTTTATTCGATGTCAGAAAAGAAAAACCCTGCATATTGTGCACTTTGTTCTAAAAGATCTTGGACAGGGAGTTTCACTTAATATTTTTAGAAATTCAGCTTATTGGATATTTTATTTCAAGGCTAACACCTTCATTTATATATTCTGGTTATAAAAACAAGCAAAAAACTGCACAGAGAACTTGACCAATTACTGTAAAAATGAATAATTATTGGTATTAATACTTTCCATTTTTAGTATGTTAATTAACAAAAAATGTAAATATAGTTGGCTTGAGATACTAAAAAAAAAATCTATGTACTCATTCCTGTAGGTAACCAAATAGATTAAAAATAATTCAGATACAAAAATTTATTAAATGAAATAAACTCAGAAATAATTCAGAAGAAAATAAGTTCAAAAATAGCTTTAGAAATTATTCACCTGCCAATTTGGCTGAGACAGCTGGTCCTCTACATGTATGAGGCCAATTTTATTCAGTTAACCTCCTATAGCTGTCTACACTAATGATGGCAAGAAAACTAGGAACATTTTGTGGGAGTTGTTAAATTTTTTAAAAAGATGATAAAACTAACACAAAATGAGTATGTACACTTACATCATCTGCCCAGTAAGTGTCAGGTAGAAAAATAGAGCAAAATGGTAAAGATGCAATCACCACACAGAACTCGTTCAAATGTGAAGATGGCTTACAATTTAAGGAGAGAGATTATAGCAGCAAGAACATGGGACTTGATCCATAAGCCTCTCTCCTCCTCAAAAGACTATACTGCAAGCGCGATGCTATCAACCAAACATACGCTGGACTACGGTCTGAACAGTGACTTTATAAAATAACAGATGTGACTAGACATAAGAAAATAAATGAGTTTTCATCATATTCTGGTATGCTAAAGGCTGATGAGTGAAAGCATTTTGAATAAAGCATTGTTGTCATCCTTCATTATCAAAGATGACACTATCTGACAAGAGACCTTGTCTGAAAAGATAAATTAGTGACTGTTAGTCTTTTCTCCAGGGAACATACACAAAGCCAGACCTTTGATTAGGAATCATTGCTGCAATCTGAAATGCCTGTTGCCATTTGCAACACTGCCTCCTAGACTCGAGGTCAGCCTTGGCTCAGGAAGATCAATTTCATTCCTGATACTGTCAGGCTAGTCTGGCATTTGCTGTGGTCTCTCAGTCATTCACAATATTGGTTGTTTTATCTTATTATCTAAGTGTTACTATCTAAGTGAGACTATTTGCTCAATTACAATCTAGACTAAAAGATCATGACATGAATAAAATAATCTTGTTTTAAATGCTTCATAAGTTTTACATAATCTTACTTTTCAAAAAAACTCATTCATGTAAAAAACTTGTAAGTTATTTAACTCAGCAAAAGGCCTGAAGGTTTGTTACCATTCCTATTAATCTTATAATTTATTAAACTATTCAACTTTTTGTGTATGAAACTGTTATTTCTAACACATCACGGACAATTCAACCAGATTCTCATTTGGAACACATATTTATAATGAAGTCAGGGTACCTTGTGGCACTATAATTTGTTATTATCAGAGGTCACTTAAGTCCCTCAAGTGCTAGGTACAGATGAATTTGATTAAATAATTGTATTGTTAATCAAGCACTTGGTGATTAGTAAATTAGTGATTTTAATTGCAGCAATTTGCTTGCTGAGAATACAAAAACAAAGTATAGAAAATACTACAAAACTTCTGAAATTATTACTGAGTGCTATCCTGTGCATTTTGGATGCTAAATCAGAAAAACAGGGAAAAAGTGTATTATGATTTAACTCAAGCCAAAGAAATGTTACCAATAAAGCAGAGAAGGAAGAACAATAACTCACTTAAAATCTTAGTGATGGGAATACAAGCAATTTCTTACCTCCACTTTGCTTATCTGCATTTTAAAAAATTTTCTTCGTTGAATGTTGACTATTTTGTGTGATGGAAAATGTTACTCTAAAAATAAAGAAATTTAAGATAGTGCCATGTGTATAATACTAACCAGCTTTTCATTACACTTGATCAAAAAACAAAACACTACCTGATTCATATAGGGCCATCAACAACTAACCTGCTCGGTATGGCCATGATTGAGGTTATCTTTTTTACTGGACAACGCAAGTTGTACAACACTGATCTTGCTTCTCGGGCAGGGATGAATAGTTCATTTGCCTGACGATCTCAGCAAAAAGTTCATCCACCATTGATTTACTTTTTGCCGATGTCTCCATAAAAGGACAGCCCCATTCTTGAGCCAGAGCTCTGCCTTCTGAAGACATAACCTCTCTTTCTGGTTCCAGATCCACTTTATTTCCTACTAGGATTAGTGGGACTTTTTCATATCTCTTCACTCTGACAATTTGATCTCTCATTGGCTTGATATCCTATTCAAACAATCACAAAGAGAAAGAAAAAAATTATGCCATTTGCATAACCATAACAGAAATATTACAATATTACAAAAAGTCATACCTCAGTGAGTATACAAGGCTGAATCCAAAATGAAATCACATCTAAACAGATAATAAGTCATCATTTTGTCCACTGAAGAATTAGATAATTTCCACAGACCCTGCCTCCTGAGTTAGTCAAGAATATAAAACCTTGACTCATACAATCACTTTTCCCCACCTGAAGTCTATACTGATTAAAAAAGCAAGTTTCTAAATGATTATTCCATTCATACATAAGGATGTTTGGCCATCTCCCTAAACCTGCCTATAGTCAAGAATATAAAACCTTGACTCATACAATCACTTTTCCCCACCTGAAGTCTATACTGATTAAAAAAGCAAGTTTCTAAATGATTATTTCATTCATACATAAGGATGTTTGGCCATCTCCCTAAACCTGCCTGCTTGTCATCAGTCCTTATAACACCTGTTATCCTAGCACAGGATTGCTGCATCTATGCATTCCCAGCCATGCAGCAAGAGGGCTTGAAAGAAAGTGTTTTAAGTAGGAACAAAAACCACTTTGTAATACCTAGAAGAAAAGAGTTACAACCAGATGGATACACTTAAATGTTTCATTTTAAATTGAGTGGTATGCATTTATTGCAGTAAAATCAAACACCTTAAAATACATTAAATTCACTAGAAACTACTGTTAACAGTGAGCAACTCTTGGGAAGGACAGTGCAAGGGATGTCTGGATGGGAAGAAGTAAAAAAACAAAAATTTTAACCTGTGTTTGTTTTTACTACTTGATTGTTTCCCCATGTGTATTACTTTTTCCAAGTAGTTACAAAGAATTACAAAAGATAAGAGCCTTAGCGATTCTCCAGTAGCATCAATTTTGGGAGGTGGGGGCAAGTAGTGATTTAAGACAATATTATAGATTTAATTCTAAAAATTGACATTTTTTTGTAATATTTCCCAATTTAAAAAGTTTGCCTTAAATAGCAAATGTATGCTTAATTCGAAGTCATAGTAAGCACAGAATATTCACACGTGGGTCGATGGAAAAGCAAGGGACTGTGAAAATCTATAAAAATATAGTTATTTGATATTTGCATCAATTTGGTTTGATCATGTATCAACTCAGTCTTCTAGGTTATGCTTATTTCCCATCGTCTTTATGGAAACATAAGTCCAGCTGAAAATTAAAACTTATAGCCTTTGGGCTCAAAAGAATTTACATCGCCACCAAAATAATGGCACAGTTTTTCACTCCCAATTCATGTCTATAACAGAAATGGATACAATAGAAATTGTATGAACCACTTTTCAAAAGACTCTCCGCCTCCAGAAAGAAAGATGATAGAATAACAAATCTGAGGATCCTTTAGGGAAAAAATGCCTGTCAAACAGCACCTTCAGTACTTTGGTACTTTCTGGGGGAAAACGCTCTTATGATACTATTGTTTGGGAGTTCACACCTACATAAAATGAACGTTAGTTTGGTCTCAATAGATTTGATTTATTTCCCCAGAATTTATCATTTTAAAACAAAATACCTGAAGTTATTCTATCAAGATACTGGGAAAGTTCACTATAGTACTTTAATTTAAAATACTAAAGAAAGTGGAATTAGCACATTGTATTGGGTAAAGCACTTAAGGTCTCTTAAGTAAGCAACATTAAGTGCATACCTTTAAATGCAGAAAAAATATATCCATTTCCTAAATCAATGGAGGTCAATATAATGAGTCAATATGAGGTTATTTATTTTCAAGGAATAAATAGAAACATGTATTGCATCTCCTAAAATAACGTCAAACCTTCGGTCTGTTTCCCAGTGAAGGACAGGACAGATTTTCTGAGATTGGACTACATCCAGTTTGGCCACCCAGCCGGGAGTAAGAAATCTGCACTTGTTCAGTGTTGCCAGACTCAAATATTTTCTGTAAATACAGGCAATGTTACCAGAAACAATTTGGATCAACTGCAGAAAAGGACTCATTCCTGATTTTTGTTGGTTATTAATTCTAGGTACTAGTCCTTTCTATTAGTAACTTTCCTTCCCACTACACGCCCCAAGTAATTAAGTAAAATGCCTAGAAGGCAGGTCTTGAGTTCTTCGTTTTGCAACACTAAGATTTATGAATCTAGTTGAGAAACTTGAGACAGAAGGGGAGGGCGGCGGGAGGGGGTGTTGGGGGTGGGAGGGGAATGTGTGGGTGGAGCAGACACAGAGGACTTATCTGTGCAACAGATAATCGGCTCCAAATAATTTTTTCAAAGTGCTCTATTTACCCGAGATTATCTGTTAGATGTTTTGTTGAGTAAGTTAATCAATACTTGTTGAATTGAGCAAGCAACTTCAGAAGGTTATATTCTGGGCTAAACATACACAGACAGACCTATTCCTTTTTCACTTTTCTTTCACTTAAAAATAGCTTTAAAATATTTGTTGACGCTTGTTTTACTACGCTCTGCAAAAACAACCCGATAGTCTTCCATGCCAGGAGTAACCTCAAAAATGCGTCATGTCTAACTTTCAAAAGCAAACCATAGTCATTAATGCACGGTTCAAGCAACTCAAGTCTATTTCGATTACCACACCCCCGTCTAACAAATTACAAGACTTGGTTTGGTTACCTGAAAAGACTGTTGATTAACCAGGCTATAAACCAGGATGAAACCTTGGCCGTTTTTGATGTAGAGATCTCTCATAGAGGCAAACTGCTCAGTTCCTGCGGTGTCCAGAATTTCCAGCACGGAGGGGGAAGAGTCCACTTCGATCTCTTTGCGGTAGAAATCTTCAATGGTGGGGTCATATTTCTCAATGAAAGTCCCAGTGACAAACTGCACAGTAAGGGCAGATTTGCCAACCCCTCCGCTCCCTAACACAACTACCTTGTATTCCCTCATGAGTCTCACCTTCACCAACTCCTACTAGAGTGGGGGAAAAGATCACCCCGCTAGCTGCGGCGCGGCTAGACGAGGCGGAAGGTAGGCGGAAATCTGCGAACTGGGGAGGAGAGTGCAGAGGAGCAGAGGGCCCAACCGGGGAAGAAGAGGAAGTTACAGGAGGGGGAGGGGAAAGAGCGTAGACTCTGGGTGGGTGGGGAAGGGATGGCAATGCCCTTCCTATAGGAACCGCAGCCCGAGCAGGGGGCGTGGGGGAGGAGGGCGAGCCTGGGAAAAGTCCGGCGAGGGTAGAGAGGAGGCGCGTGCCCCCGGGAGGGAAAGGGTGTGGGCCGCGGCGAGGGGACCCCGCGGCGAGGCGGACGTCCGAGGAGCCTGCCGCCCGGGGCTGCCAGGTACTCCTCCCCCGCCCTTCACACAAAGGGGCCCAGGGACCCCGCTTCCTGCTCGCGCCGCGGAGCCGGCCCAGGCCTGCGGGCTCCCTTCCAGTCACCGCTGCCTGGGCAGGTTTCTGGGTCCCGGCTCCCGCGGGGGTCGTCCGGCCTGTGAAGGAGACAGGGACGCACATTACCCGGCTGACCTCCGCCCTGAACCAGCGGCGCTGGCCGCCGTCTCCCCCAGTTCCCACCCGGATCAGGCTGCCTCCGCCACCGCCGCTTACCCCGCCGTCCGCACCCGCCCGGCCGCCGGGGAGGCTCTGTCACGCCAAGGCCATGGCCACCCGTTGGCTCCTCTGTCTCTCCGCTGCCCCAGCGCAGCTGCTTGCGCCGGGGAAAGGGGCGGGGGCCGTCCGGCGGCGGTGGCAGCCGCAGGGACTCCAGGCGAACCCACCTCTTTTTTTTTCCTCTCCCACCCCCCACCCCCCCAGCACACACCCGGAAGGGTTTCCCTGACACACTGGCTGAGGTGCCCCAGTTCCCCGAGACTGGACGGGATCACTTCCGGTGGGGAAAGTCCCACCTCTCCAGGGCGAGCCGGGTGGCGCTGGGGCCGCGCCCTGCTGAGCGAGCGAGCTGGCAGGGGAAGGTTTCGGGTCGGGACTCCGGCCTCGGGAACCGGCCTCTGGGAACCTGCTGCGTTCGTCCTTTCCCGCCCGCGGCTGCCGCCGACCGTCCCAACCCCAAATCTGTAGAAGCCCCTCCGCCCCGCAGTCTCCCGTCGCCCGGCCGGAGGACTTGAGCCGTTCGCTGGCCGGTGCGGGACTGCCGGCTTATAATCTAGCGACCGGGAGAACGCCAAACATCCCTGAACTAGAAGTTTGAGGGAAAATCAAACAGCCCGTTTGAAAGTTTATTCTCCTTGCTGGTATTTCTTCCACTTGCTATTTTGCTGAGAGATGTATGCAAACTACCCTTAGAATTCGTATGCAGTGTGTTTTACTTGGCCGTGCCTGACAAACACACACGGTACTTTTATCATGTGGTAGATCCGCCTTGACTTCACCAGCGAATATCAAAGTCACTTAAAAAAAAAAAAAATCACGAGGCTCGAAAACAACAGCATTAGAAGCAGACTTTATGGTACTCTACTCAGCTATGTTCTCATTTGATTCCAACCACTGCACGCAGAAAAGGTAACCAATATTCAGAAAAGAGAAGAGTTGATTGGAAACGGTTTAGGCCTAGAGATTAATTTATTTTAATATTTGACTATCTGCATGTATAACAATTTGCTTGGCTGGCTGTTACATGCTGAAGTTTTGTTTTAAAGGCCATCCTTTGTAGCCTTTGAAATTCAAAAGCAAGGAGCAACTCGTGTTCGATTCTAATTTTTAGATAAAATTGTTACTTCCCACTATCTTTTCCTTTGCTAGCTTTCTATTTGCAAACTTTGTGTCAGATCCACAGAGCCCCAGGGCCAGGAGGCTAGGCTGTATTTTAGGTATGTCATTTTCTTGACAATTCAAGCCTGTACACAGAAACATGGGATACTCAGTGGCCAGCCTAGCAAAATTGACTCCAAATTCCCTTACTTGCAAGCCCCAAATGGCCAAACTCTATAAAAAGAGATCCCAGTCCAAATTATTGGAGATTAGAACACAGGTGAATCACAGTAGTGTGAGGTCCCACTGTCCCTCCCTGAGTATTCCCCAATGTCACTTACAGTAGTCAAAGGAGAGTTTAGTTCAGTTTCTCCTTGACCTCAGGCCGGTGCTGTCTCTCCAGCGAAGTCCCCAGCTCTGGCTCCAGCTGGCCTGGGCTCTGCCTCATATCAGAGGCACTGCCCTCTGCTGGAAGAGGTTTGGTCTGTGAGTTATGCGTTTCCCCACAGGTCACTGCTCCTTTCACACTTGCTGTTGCCTGATTTGGAGCTCTGCTGCTCATCTCCCTGTCTAGCTGTCTCCAGACTGTCTGGTGGGATTCACAGTCCTCCACCAGCCGTGCTTGTAACTGAGTCTGGAAATTCCTCTTCTGTCCAGCCAGTGTTGAGCAATCATGGCAAATATCTGCTCATTACTAAACTGTCAAAACAAGGAGATTTTCAGGTCATCCTACCTGTTGGCAATCCCTAATATCTCTGAATGTGTTGGTCATGCTTAGGACAGAGTTATTTGTTTCTCCACGCAATGAAACATACTCCTTCCCTGTGGGGTCACTCTCATAAACTATAGGGTGAACAAATATCATACTTATTCTAAAGATCCTTCTAAACTTTCCTAGGAAGGGTATTCATTACAGCATTGATTGGGAAAGCAAACAATTGGAGGAAGCTTAAATGTCCTTCAGCAGGTGATTTTTAAAAGTTTTATATCTATCTAATTATCTATCATCTACCTACCCATCTATCTATCCATATTCACAAAATGGGATACTATGCAGCTACTTTAAAAGAGAAAAGTAGATTTGTAAGTGCTGATATAAAAAGATGGCCAAGATGTATTGTAGGACTGAAAAAGCAAGACACTGAACAAATGTCTAGTTGCTACTATTTATGTAAAATGCGGGTGTGTAAAAGTTGCATAGCCATTCAAATCTGAAACAAAGTAATTACGGGTGAGGGCTATTGTGAAATGGCTTTTATTTCTCCATATCATTTTAATTTTTAAACAATAATTAGGGAAAGGGGGAGTAAATATAACCTTATCATATTTTAAATTGAGGAACAAAAGCAAGTTGTTTACCTCAGCTTTGTAAAAGAAAAAAAAAAAATACCCTGACTGTCTGGGGGTCAGTGGACAGGTCTGTCCAATTTAAACAAATTCCCTACCCTGCCTGCCCTCCCCAAACATCTCTATACTTAGAAAAGTATTTTCACATACATTATCTCATTAGACTCCAGTTGTTTGCCAGTGTACTCTCATTGGGCAATGAGGGTATAAAGACCAACTAGAAGAGTGTGGCCTGGCAGTTGAGAGCCAGAGCTCTGAAATGAGACAGAGGGACATTAAAATTGCAGCTCCCCCACATTCCAGCTGTGTCCCCAAGCAAGTTATTTCATTTGTCTGAGCCTCTATCTCCTCACCTGTAAAAAGGGGAGAAGTTAATGTGAGAATATAATAAGATATTACAGGTAAAGTGCCTAGCACTGTCCCTTGCACATTATAAAGCCTCAATAAATGCCAGCTATTTGGTTTTCATTTAAAAAATTTAACGAAGTGTTAATTTTTAAAAAACAGCAACAAGGAGGGGAACAAAATTTTAAAAGCCCAAGTAGCTGCAAATGGCACAAAAATAATAATTCAGTTACTCTTCACAAAGGTATTTATTGTTAAAAGCTTATTTTGGGGGGAACATTATTTATTTGTTAGTATATCTATCAATCTACATTCTCCATGGATTTTTTAAAATTACTAGGAAAATCACTTGAACCTGGGAGGTGGAGGTTGCAGTGAGCTGAGATCATGCCACTGCACTCTAGCTTGGTGACAGCGAGATTCCGTCTCAAAAAAAAAAAAAAAAAACAAAAAAAAAAAAAACAAAAAACAATACTGTACTATAAAAGTAATCACACTATATTTACTATTCTGTACCTTGCTTTTTAAAATGTAATTTAATTTTTTTTAAGACAGTGTCTCCCTCTGTTACCCAAGCTGAAGGGCAGAAGCATAATCATAGCTCACTGCAGCCTCTACCTCCTGGACTCAAGGGATCCTCCCACCTCAGCCTCCCAAGTAGCTAGGACTACAGGTTCATGCCACCACACAAGGCTATTTTTTCTTTTTAAGTAGAGATGGAGCCTCACTATGTTGTTCATGCTGGTCTCAAACTCCTGAGCTCAAGAGATCCTCTCGACCTAGCCTCCCAAAGTGCTGGGATTACAGGCATGAACCACCATGCCTGGCCTTCTTCATTTTTTTTTTCATGGCTGTATCATAAGTTAATTAACCAGCTCCCCTTTGAAGGACACTGATTGCTTCTAGGGTTTTGCACTGAACACCTTGGACATATATCATTGTCAGTTACTGTTTAGGGTGAATTTCTAGTAATCCAATAATTGAAACAAAAGGCGCTTGCACTTAAAATTCTTCTGGTAAATATTGCCAAATTGTCCTTCAGAAAGGTCAAGCTAATTCACATTCCCACCAATGCAGTATGACCATATCACTTTATAACCTCACAGTAGGTATTACTAATTTTAGCATTTTATTGTGATTGTTGCTTGCTTTAGGGTATTTTCAGGACTAACAAATGCAGAGCAGTGTTTTAGAAATAATTTGGACTTCAGAGCCAGACAGTCTTAACACTGCCCTTCTGCAAGCTACACCTCCATTCCCTCATTTGTAAAGTTGGGCATAATAGCATTATCTAACTCACAGGAGAATAAATGAGACAATCCATTCAAAACATTTAGCCTTCCAAACACTAACTGCTCAATAAATAGAAACTGCTCAAGTAATAATTTTTCACTCCAAAGGCTCAAATATAGGGGGGAGGGGAATGGGAGGACTTCTCCAGAGATCATGCCCTTGAGATTGAGAACTTTTACTTTAATTCTGCATCAACCTCCTCTCCAAAGTATTGCTCAGGCATTATTTCAAAGAACACAACCCATTTTTACCACAGTGTGGAGAAACCACAGTGTATACACTATATGCAGATTATGTAAGTAACAGGACCATAATCTTATTTTATGAAATTAGCTTGGCACAAGTTTAAAGTGCTGGACATTTGCTACAGGCACCAGCTGCTTACTTCTCTTATCCTTTTCTTCTTTTCAAATCGTTACCTCCTTCATTTGCATTCTTCGGAGCCACCAACTGCCTGGAATATTTTACCCTAACTTCCACTCTCCAAATGAGCCTTCTTGCCTTCTAGGTCCTGGGAAAAAGCCCATAGCTGTCTGTTTACTATATATGGCTATCTATTATCCATCCAGGCTCTTCCCTTCTCTTTTGCTAAAAGTTGCTCTTGAATTATCAGAAAGTTTGAGCCAGCAGTGTCCTCAGTCTTTACCTACAGAAATCTTATTTCAATGCTTTAGGGGCCCCATTGATACCAGCTAAATTGTCCTGGGTTCTTTCCAGCTCCTAGCCTCTCAAATTCCAATCTTCTCTTTCCAATCCTGCCTCCAGCTACATCAATCATTAGTTCTGTATGTCAGGCTCCCCCAGTACACAAAACCAGTTTTATACCTTTATTATTATCTTTTTCTCATAAAACTAATGTTATTTGCAAAAGAATATGTAAAATAAAAGTATAATCCCACTACCTGGAGAAAATTGCTGTTAACATTTTATTGTCTTTCACAATTTTTTTTCTAGAGAGAGCTAAAGAAGTTTTTTTTTTGTAAACTAAGAATGGGGTCATATAAATTTGCTAATGGCTTCTTTCACTTATGGAAACATCACGTCTGCATAAAGCACTGAAAATACTCATGTAACCCTCATCCCCTACATGCATCAGCCTTTTTTTCCTATAGCTTTAGCT